ATTGCGCACTGCAAAAAAAACATGCTGTTCGAATTAATAGTGGTTTGGGCTCGTAATATAAAAAGCGACACTCCACTTACAGCTAGACCAATGCTTACGCCGGAGGCCAACCCACGCGCCCCGTCAAATGTCAATAGCAAAAGCGACGACTTTTTGCTGTGTCCTCAACAGCTGCTCGACATCCTGCGACATCCGCAGGACTCTCATTCTGCTCAGCCTTTTCGATCACTGCCGAAAGCCCCTTCCATGTCCTGGTCTTACGCTGGTTTTGGGGTCACTCTAGCAGCATATTTACATTTATTATGCCCATCGACCCTGAAGTTATTCCTATTACTCTAACATAATCGGAGGCTGACGGGGTGAGCAGCTTAAGCAGACTGTGTGGGAATATATAACTGAATATTGAGGTCAATCAGTACTGTTTTCATTATTAAATAACTTTTAAATAAATGTATTTATGTTGGGATGAATGTAGTTAATAGCTTTTTGGAATAAGTGAGCTTTTATAGATATAGAACTATAAACTTTTCCAAGATATTTATTGTCTATTAAATCATATATGTATAATCCTTTGATGCAATATATTTCTCGATAAATTATCGATATATTATGTGTAAATAATGTGACCGATAATATGTAACATTCAGCTGACTTACATCATTATATCCACCTTGGGTTGATTATCCTTAAAATGAAAACTATTTAATAAGGATCGATCTACTCGGCCACGACTTAGGGTTTTTGGCATCTTACTTATATAATGTTTACGTATATATTTTCAACGTAACAACCGGCAGTTTAGTTGTCAACCTAAACTTCAATATCATTCTCTGAACGAAACTGAAAACTGAAAATTTAATTCAAATTAATATTGCACTTGCTAGTTTTTTTGTACACGTTCAACTTAAACCTTGCACAGCAATTAAATCGATAGCTAAAGGATGGATCTAGAGAAGATTCCCGAGACGGACATGTGGTCGGTGTCGAAGAGCGCCCGTAAGCATCGTCGCGTCGTGTTGGGCTTCGTGCCGAAGATTGGCTTGCCCATTGTGGACTATGGGGATGTGGATAGAATTGATTCATTCTATTTGGAATGTCAAGATTATCGTGACTACTATCGCGATCCTTACGACAAGCTGCACAAGCCCATCAGGTTCGTATTCCATCAGGGCAAGTGTGGCATCAGACTGGATACGAGTATCGAGCAGCTGAGGCAGCCAATGATCTGGGTGCCCAAGCGCCTGCCGCCAATTAGGCCCCTCGAATACAGGTCCTACATGAACCTGGGCATCGATGCGGGGGAAATAATGAAGGGACGCCACAACAAGGCAAGCTGCAATTTGTTCAAGCGATGAATTGTCGACACAGAAAAGAACACCCTTTTAACCTACTCGGCCCGCTGCGCTCTATCGATGAGTTCATGCAGTGCATAAAAGTTGCGTACAAGAATTTTAAGCACTATATGAACATCAGCTATATGTGGACAGACCATAAATTTTAAGGTGTGAGAACGCAACTCAATTTCATTGTTAATTTTAACTGATTCGAGTTCAGACGAAAAATTTATCTCAGTAATTTCACTTTTCATTTTAACTGATATGGGCTCAGAAAACAAATTTATCTCAACTATGTGTATTCCTGTATGTATTATTTTAATTATAAATTTTAATGTTCAAAGTACATACGACTTTTATTTTTAATTCACTTGAAAAGTTGTAAATAATAATATAAATAGTATGTATTATTAATATTCATATAAATAGTATGTATTATTAATATT